CAGATGCTTTTAAAGATTATAATTTTGTTTCTCTCTACTGCTTTTTTTTTTTAATGGTTTTATTAAAATTCACATACTATTTAGTTTACTCATTTAAAGGGTACAGTTTTACGAGTTGTACAGCCATCACCACAATCAATTTGAGAACATTTTCATCACCCCCCCCCCCAAAAAAAAAATAACACCACGTGTGCTGTGCTTCTTCACTCAGTCTTGTCCGGCTCTTTTCGGCCCCATGGACTGGAGCCTACCAGGCTCCTCTGTCCATGGGATTCTCCAGGCAAGAATACTGGAGTGGGTTGCCATTTCCTACTCCAGGGGATCTTCCCAACCCAGGGATTGGACCCAGGTCTCCCACATTGCAAGCTGATTCTTTACTCTGAGTCACCAGGGAAGCCCAAAATAACACCATACCTATAGCATTTACTCCTCCTTTCTCCTCAAGCCCTTGCTCCAGGCAAATGTAATTTACTTTACATCTGTATAGATTTGCCTATCTAGGCTTTTCTTCTAAATTCAGTTCAGTTCAGTCGCTCAGTCCTATCCGATCTTTGCGACCCCATGAATCGCAGCACGCCAGGCCTCCCTGTCCATCACCAACTCCCAGAGCCTACTCAAACTCATGTCCATTGAGTCGGTGATGCCATCCAGCCATCTCATCCTCTGTCGTCCCCTTCTCCTCCTGCCCTCAATCTTTCCCAGCATCAGGGTCTTTGGGTCTTTTCAAATAAGTCAGCTCTTCACATGAGGTGGCCAAAGTATTGGAGTTTCAGCTTCAGCATCAGTCCTTCCAATGAACACCCAGGACTGATCTCCTTTAGGAGGGACTGGTTGGATCTCCTTGCAGTCCAAGGGACTCTCAAAAGTCTTCTCCAACACCACAGTTCAAAAGCATCAATTCTTCTGCACTCAGCTTTCTTTATAGTCCCATTCGCACATCCATACATGACCACTGGAAAAACCATAGCCTTGACTAGACAGACCTTTGTTGGCCAAGTAATGTCTCTGCTTTTTAATATGCTATCTAGGTTGGTCATAACTTTCCTTCCAAGGAGTAAGCATCTTTTAATTTCATGGCTGCAATCACCATCTGCAGTGATTTTGGAGCTCCCAAAAATAAAGTCAGCCACTGTTTCCACTGTTTCCCCATCTATTTGCCTTGAAGTGATGGGACCAGATGCCATGATCTTAGTTTTTTGAATATTGAGCTTTAAGCCAACTTTTTTACTCTCCTCTTTGACTTTCGTCAAGAGGCTTTTTAGTTCCTCTTCATTTTCTGCCATAAGGGTGGTGTCATCTGCATAGCTGAGGTTATTGATATTTCTCCCGGCAATCTTGATTTCAGCTTGTGCTTCTTCCAGCCCAGCGTTTCTCATGATGGACTCTGCATGTAAGTTAAACAAGCAGGTTGACAATAGATAGCCTTGATGTTCTCCTTTTCCTATTTGGAAGCAGTCTGTTGTTCCATGTCCAGTTCTAACTGTTGCTTCCTGACTTGCGTATAGGTTTCTTCTAAATAGAATCATACAATAAGTGATTTTTTGTGACTGCCTTCTTTCACTTAGCACAGAGTTTCAAAGGTTTATCCAAGTTGTAGCATGTATTATCACTCCATTCCTTTTTATTGCCAAATAGCATTCCATGTGGATATACCACTTCTTAGCCGTTTATCACTTATGGACACTTGAGATGTTTCCACTTTGTGGCTCTTACAAATAATGCTGCTGTGACTGTTTGTGTACAAGTTTTATGGTGGACATATATTTTCATTTCTCATAGGCAGATGCCTAGTAGTAGATTTTCCGGGTCACATGGTAACTGTTTAAGCTTTTGAGGAACGACCAGAATGTTTTGTAAGTGCCTGTACCATTTCCATTCTCATCAGCAGTGTATAAAATTCTAGTGTCTGTATTTCCTCACCATTACTTGTTGTTATCTGTCTGTTTGTTTGTTTCTTATATCCATCCTAGTGGGTATGAAGGGGTATCTCATGGTGTTTTGCTTTGTATTTCCCTGATTACTGTTGATGTTGAACATACTCATGTGCTTATTTGTCATTTCTATATCTTTGGGGAAAAGTCTTTTCAGCTTTTTTGCTCATTTTTAAAATTAGATTATTTAACTTTTATTGTTGAGTTGTTATAGTTCTTTATATATTCTAGATACAAATTCTTTATCAGACATATGGTTTGCAGATATTTCCTCTTATCCTTTAGGTTGTCATTTCTTCATGGTATCCTTCCAGACGTAAAAGTTTTTAATTTTGGTGAAGTCCAATTTATTATTTTTTTTTATTATCACTTGTGCTTTTGGTGCTGTATCTAAAATGGCTTTGCCTAACTCAAGGTCATGAAGATTTATCCCTGTATTTTCTTCTAAGAGTTTTATAGTTTTAGGTCTTAATTGTGGTCTGTGATCCATGTTGAATCAATTTTGGTGCAGGGCGTGAGGTACAAAGTCATTCTTTTGCATGTGGATATCCAGTCGTCTCAGCACTATTTGTTGAATTGTCTCAGCATCCCTCTACTCTTAGAAGCAACCCCACTGGAAGATAGACATCCTTTGATATTCCATTTGTAGTGATTCTTCAGAGAGCTTAGCTTTCAAAGCAATACTTGATGATGTATTGGTCTCAAGCACACCATTACAGGAAGCTGTGGTGTTGTAGAACAGAAGTCACTCAAGCTCCTAGTCAGTCTTCCAAGATGACAGCCAGGTTCATTGTTTTGTTATTATATCCCTATTTTGAGTATTTTGTATTTGAAAAGTGTAAAGCTCTTGTGTTGTTGGTGTTTAGTTGCAAAGTCATATCCAACTCTTTTTGCAACCTGTGGTCTGTAGCCCGCCAGGCTCCTTCTGTCCATGGGGTTTCCCAGGCTAGAATACTGGAGTGGGTTGCCATTTCCTCCTCCAGTGGATCTTCCCCAGCCAGGAATGGAACTCACATCTCCTACACTGACAGGCAGATTCTTTACCCTGAACTATGTGGGAAAGCTCTGTCCTCTGATATGTGGCACATCCATAAACTTTGGTGGTGTTGACTTTAGTTATATTAGATATTTATTGAATGTATTTTTTTAATTACCTAAAAGAGCGTTTGGGCAAAGACTTAATGTGTAGAAAGTAACTTTAAGAGATTTGGAAACACAGGTTATTACTGAAGAACTGTCATAAGTCACCTACCTAAATGATTATTGTCTCTATATTACATCTCAGACAGATTGTGATCGCATCATGCAGTAAAAGGGAATTAAGGTTGGCAACCCACTCCAGTATTGTTGCCTGGGAAATTCCATGGACAGAGGATCCTGGCAGGCTACAGTTCATGGGGTCACAGAAGAGTCAAACACAACTTAATGACTAACCAACAACAGCAATGATTTCTGTAACTCTTTCATAGTAATTTGCATGTGGGTTGGGCCTGGATAATAGAAGGACTTGAATGCCAGGGACATTCTGTTTAGGCAGGGGGACTTTGAATACTGATTTTATTAGGGAAATGTCACAAACAGAGCTACAGGAAAGATTAAGTTGGGAGCAGATGTTGGGTGAGTAAGAGGAAGATGATTGAGATAGGAAGATCAGTTAAGAGGCAGAAGGCCTCCAGACAAGAGATGTTGAGGACTTGAAGAAGTATAGCAGCAGTGGAGAGTCACTCTTAAGTCACATATCCTGTTTCCTTAGGACCAAAGAAGATAGAGACTGAAGGCAGGGAGATTTGTTTGGGGAGAGCTGTTTTTGTAATCAGTAGATTATTTAAAAAAAAAAAATCAAAAGTCAGGAAGTTCTCTGAGCCTGGGGAACGAGGTAGGGCAGTTATGTGGCCTCTTGGTATCTGCAGGGCATTGGTTTCAAGAGCCCCAGTGGGTACCAAAATCCACAGATGCTCAAGTCTCTTATATAAAAGGGCTTGGTGCAGTGAATACAGTTGACCCTCTGGGTTTTCCATCCACAACTGGTTGGATCCATGGATGTAAAAACCTGTGAATACGGAGAGCCAGCTGTTAAGTCTTTGACAGTAAAAAGGAAGTCTAAAAGGGATGTGGTGATGAAATGCATTTCAACAGCTGTTGCTTTTCTTCCGAAGTTACTGTGGCATCCAAGGGCTTGTGGACTTTGTCTCTTAGCTTCCTGTGAATACTGAGCAGGTTCAGAGTGAGGTGGGGCCTTTTTTCTCAAATGATATTTGTTTCTTACTCCCCTTTGGAAAGTGTTAGTTGTTCAGGTGTGTCCAACTCTTTGTGACCTCACGGACTGTAGCCTGCCAGGCTCTTCTGTCCGTTGAATTCTCCAGGCAAGAATACTGGAGTGGGTTTGCCATTTCCTGCTCCAGGGGATCTTCCCAACCCAGGGGTCAAACCCGGGTCTTCTGCCTTGCAGGCAGATTCTTTACCATCTGAGCTACCACAGAAACCCCCTACTCCCCTTTTGCATGCCAGTATTTTTCAGTACTGGCAATGATGTTGAGCCAATATGGTAGAATTTCCACACCCTAATTTCTGAGGATTAAAAGGAACAGTAGGGGACCAGCCATTAAACTAGAAAAATAATCTCCCTCTCTGGAGGTTATGAACGCTTGCCGTTATTTCTGTTTTGTGTAAAATGATTGTTTTTATTTCTTCATTTGTTCTTATTAAATAGCCTTTAGAATAACTTATGCTGTTCCTGACAAGCAAGGCAGTCGAATTTGTGTGGAGTATAAGAATGGCCCATACCCCCTTCAGAGCATGAAAAATGAGGCAGGACATGTCATTCAACAAGTAAAGGCAATTTTGTTTCTCCCACTTTAGCTTTATTCAGTTACCTTTCAGTAAGTGACAGCATTTGATTCTTTTAAGTTGATGTAGGTAAAGCTTGTATATGAACAGTGTCTAAATGTTGGTTTTTGTCTCCTGATGGCTCAGCTTTGGAAATCTAATCCAAATCAAGCAGCATGACTACTTAGGAATTGTTTGTTTTATATCTCAGGAACCCCGACTGCCCCCTTCAGCACGTTCACTATGAAGTTACTGCTGATGCTTTTGTTTTCGGGCCTTATGACTGGTTGTAGAGGGAACTCTTCCTCTGCTTCACCACCTAAGTTACTGCTGGTGTCCTTTGATGGCTTCAGAGCTGACTATCTGCAGAACTATGAATTTCCTCACCTCCAGAATTTTATCAAAGAAGGTGTCTTGGTAGAGCAGGTTAAGAATGTCTTTATCACGAAAACGTTTCCAAACCACTACAGCATCGTGACGGGCCTGTATGAAGAAAGCCACGGCATTGTGGCCAATTCCATGTACGACGCAAACACAAAGAAGCACTTTTCTGACCACGATGACAAGGACCCGTTCTGGTGGAATGAGGCAGTCCCCATCTGGGTGACCAACCAGCTTCAGGACAACAGATCGAGTGCTGCTGCTATGTGGCCCGGTACCGACGTGCCCATTCACAATACCACGCCTTCCTATTTCATGAGCTACAGCCCCTCCGTGTCGTTTAGGGAAAGGCTCAGCAATGTCACCGCCTGGCTGAGCAGCTCGAACCCACCGGTGACCTTTGCAGCACTCTACTGGGAAGAACCAGACGCTAGTGGCCACAGATACGGCCCTGAAGATAAAGAAAACATGCGCCGAGTGTTGGAAGAAGTAGATGAACACATTGGTGAGCTAGTTCACAGACTCAAGGTGTTAGGACTGTGGGAAAGTCTTAATGTGATCATTACAAGTGATCACGGGATGACCCAGTGTTCCAAGGACAGGGTGATAAACTTGGATGGCTGCCTCGACCCCTCATACTACACCCTTATAGACTTGACCCCAGTTGCTGCAATACTTCCCAAAATAAGTAAGTAAACTTTTAACCAAGGAATATTTCAGTGGGTCAGTTGATTGAGGAGGGAGGATTTTGTAAAAATAATGAAGCTTGGACTTTATGTGGTTCACCACCATATACTCTTATACTCACTCAGAGTTAGGACTGTGTTTTTCCTGTGATGTTTTTCTTAGGCCATTTAGGTTTAGGTTTAAAAGGATAATTTCTTTGCTTTTTGATGTATTTCTTTTATGTTTATCTTTTTATTGAAGTGTAAGTGTACATCAAAGTGACTCATATATATACTTTTGTGTGAGATATACCTATCTACTGATCTTAGAATTAATAATTAGTAGTAATATATTATTAGTTTATATTTAGTTAGGAAGCTAGACGTGAAATTTCCCCCCATTGTATAAAAGTCCACCAGGGATAATCACAGAATGAAAAGAGAGATATGTGAATGCTTGAAAGGGATGTGTGTGTGTGCGCGTGCACTTGTGTGCACTCAGCACTATTACATTAGTATTATTGCCCTGTTTTTTTTTTAATGATTAATAGGATTTAATAAATAACATTGTTCAGGGCTTATTTCCAGTTATTCTAGTTAGAAATATTTTTTCCTTATCAGTCAACATGACCTTTTTCCTTTGCTGTTTCCTTTTCTTCCAGATAAAACAAAGGTTTATAGCAAACTGAAAATCTGTAACCCTCACATGAATGTTTATCTCAAAGAAGACATTCCTGCCAGGTTTCACTATCAACATAGTGATCGAATTCAGCCTATTATTTTGGTTGCTGATGAAGGCTGGACAATTGTGCTAAATAACTCATCACTAAAATGTAAGTATTTATTTAGGATTTTTCTTCTCTGTCCCTGGGATAAATCACATGTTGTGATTATTCCATTAACAAGGTACTTTGATTTAGAGATGTTGACACAGTATAATTTGTTTGATTTTCAACTAGATGATTCTCAGGTTTCCATTTGAGAGCAATTTTTAGAAACCACTGTTTGATCCTTATATTGGAAGGCTGAGTGATCTTAAGGGTGAAGGAGTAGTTTTACTCTTTTGTTACCAAAATTGCAGTGACTGTCAGTAACTTTCAGGACTTGTTCTCTTGATTTGTAAAAATAAGAGAGTAGGGAGAAGCAAAGAAAATAAAAGAGAAGTCAAGAAACAAAGGGGGAGAGATTAGCTAGTTCAAATTCCTTTTCCTTTTTTAGTGTTAAAAGAAATGTATCCAAGTATTCCCCCAGGATGAAGTAATACACCTGAGTGCTACTGCTACTTAGAACACTGGGCAAGAACCAGAAAGTATGCAAACAGAAATCTACCAAGTAAACAAAGCAGAGTCTTGCCTCAAACTGAGGACATGTGTAGGGGAGAATTAAGAGGTCTCCCCTGAACTGAAGCTTATTTACCTGTTGGTTAAATTCAATTTGAATGCATTTTTTAAAAAATCTGATTTTATAGACCATAGCAGGGGTCAGAGAATTCTTCTGTAAAGGGCCAGACGGTAAGTATTTCAGTCTTTGTGGGCCAGCTAGTCTCTGCCTCAGCCACTCAGCCCTGCCTTACAGTGGGAAAGCAGCCAGCGACAGCACCTAAACAGACTGACGCGGGGTGTTCCAGTGAGGCTCCCGTTACAGAAGCAGGCGCAGGGCTGCATTTGACCAGACTCCGGCACCTGCCAATCCCCGATCTATAGCAGTTCAGGTGTGTCCGGCAAGGATAAAACTGAAGGCCGTTAGAATTTATATATTATTAATGCTTACCTTGAAGTTGAAAGTCACACAGTCATGTCTGACTCTTTGTGACCCCATGGACTGTAGCATGCCAGGTTTCTCTGTCCATGGAATTCTCCGGGCAGGAAGCCTGGAGTGGGTAGTCATTCCCTTCTCCAGGGCTCTTCCCGACCCCGGGGATGGAACCCAGGTCTGCCACATTGGAGGCAGATTCTTTCCCAGCTGAGCCACCAGGGAAGCTGACAAATACTGGAGTGGGTAGCCTGTCCCTTCTCCAGGGGATCCTCCCGACCTGGGAGTCGAACCCAGGTCTCCTGCATTGCAGGCAGATTCTTTACCAGCTGAGCTACCAGGGAACCCATAATATTTACCTTATATACTCATTATTGAAAACTTGTAAAATACAGAAAAGTTCAGAAAAGACAACAAAAACTATTCATAATCCTTCAATACAGAAGCACAGACAAATGTAAATTGTGGGAGTATCCCCCCCAATCTTTTTCTGTTACATACACACACATTTTTATTATTAAATCATATGGTTTATGGTATTCATTTACAATCATACTCATTCACATTATTGAAATGATAATGCCTATATATATCATTATATTCTGCTATTTATTGTACTGGTCACGGCATTATTTTTATTATGAAATATTTCAAACATAGAATTAAAGAATGATATATTACATAAAGAAGTAAAGAATGATACGGCAAACACTGATAGGCTCATCCTCCAGTCACCTACTCCTCACCTGGAAGTGGGAACTTGTTAAACGTGTGCCTTGTCGTTCAGTCATGTCCAACTCTCTGTGACCCCATGGAATGTAGCCCACCCGGTACCACTGTCCATGGGGATTCTCCAGGCAAGAGTACTGGAGTGGGCTGCCATGTACTCCTCCAGGAAATTCCAGGGAATCTTCCCAACCCAGGGATCAAACCCAGGTCTCCTACATTGTGGACAGATTCTTCACCATTGCTAAGTCATGTCCCACTCTTGTGACCCCTTGGACTATGCCTGTCACGCTCCTCTGTCCATGGGATTCTCCAGGCAAGGATACTGGAGTGGGTTGCCGTTCCCTTCTCCTTGTTAAATATAACTGATACATATTAAAAGGTAGTAGTTTTGAAAATAAAGCTGATAGTTGAGAGTCTTGTTTTGGAGTGATACCCGGGGCCATCAGGTTTTTCTTTGACTTTTACTGGAATTACACATTGGAGTCATCTGGTTAGATGTCACATTCAAGGCAAGAATCCCTCCTGTAATATTCTCAGTCTCCTGACCCTCTGGACATTGAGGTGTCCTTTAGCTGTTGGTAAACCAATGGTGTGGGCTTCCCAGGTGGGACTAGTGGTAAAGAACCCACCTGCCAATGCAGGAGACATAAGAGACACAGGTTCAATCCCTGGATGGGGAAGATCCCCTGGAGGAGGACATGGCAACCCACTCCAGTATTCTTGCCTGAAGAATCCCATGGGCAGAGGAGCCTGGTGGGCAGCATTCCCTAGGGTTGCAGAGAGTCGGAATCAGCTGAAGTGACTCAGCACACAGGCACCCGTGGTGTATTCTACATCCTGCGCCTTGTCCAGGAACAGCTGATAGATGTCAGGCCACTGGCTCACTTCCTCCCCACTCACTGGTTTACTCACTTCTGCTCACCCCAGTTACTCAGAACCTTCAACCCAACCACTCTCTTAATCACTGGTGCTCGTTGCAGGGCCTTTTTGCAAACAGTGTTGGACACTGACAGGTAAAATGCTTGGGGCTAGGACTGAGAAACCCATCAGTCTGAGAGAAGGTTTTAAAACATGAGGTTATGACCAGTTGGGGAAAAGGAGGGGTGTATGTGCAAAATACAGGAGGTGGCTGAATTGAAGAAATAGAAATTTTTATTTCTAGCCCCTGTTTGGCCCAGCTGATCAGAATTTCAATGGATGGGAATTAAATTGGCAAGAATCCAGTGTATTTGCACTAGCAACAGGTTATTTCGTAATAGCAAGGCTGGTCTTGTTTACTGACATCATCTATTCTTTTCCAGTAGGTGACCATGGTTACGATAATTCTCTACCTAGTATGAATCCGTTTCTAGCTGCCCATGGTCCTGCATTTCACAGAGGCTACAAACACAGCACCATTAATACAGTGGATATTTATCCAATGATGTGCCACATCCTGGGATTGAAGCCACATCCCAACAATGGAACCTTTGGTCACACCAAGTGTCTGTTAGTGGACCAGTGGTGCATTAACCTCCCAGAGGCCATTGGAATTGTTATTGGGGCACTCCTAATTTTGACCACACTGACCTGCCTCATCATTATCATGCAGAACAGAGTCTCGGGCCCCCGGCCATTTTCCCGACTGCAGCTCCAAGAAGATGATGATGATCCACTGATTGGGTAACACGTTCAGGGTTTCTACAAGGTGGCTTTAAGTGGGGCACACCCAAGGAATGGTGTTACAACTATGAAAACATATACTTCAGAAGAGCTTGGACCAGGCATGCTGCAGTTATTTTGTCTTTCCTTGTGTTTTGCTACATTAGCTAATACAAAAAAATTCTGACCATAGGGAAAATTGCTAGTAAAGCATTAGTTAGAACCAACTGTTTCTCTGACTAGAAACTTTTTTTGAGAATAATACTGCCTTTGCTCCCCCCTCCCCCCTTTGGCAATGAAGATTGGACACATCTTAAGATGAAAATATATTAAAATTTAGTGGGTGTGCATTTCAAATAAATTTTTATATTTGTAAATTATACAACAGAAATCTTTGTAAAGTGTGTGGATTTTGTGTATAAGGGAGGAAAAGTTTCCTATATTTTTATATGTACCTTTAATAGAGTTTGTATCCCAAGTAAACCCTTGAGGTAGGAAAATTCTCTGTGATGGTTAATAAAATGGATTACGAGGCAGAAAAGATCTAGCATATGAAGAAACTATTTCAAGAAAAGCTAGTGTAAAAAACAAACAAAAGCCCCATGATAACAAGATTGAGTCTTTGTGTGTGTCTCTGTTAAGACCCTTAAGCTATTAAAACCTCAAAAGGTTTATCTTTTGAAGAGTATTACTAAGAGGAAATTAAGAAAATAGAGGAAAGTGCTTTTCTCACTTTATGCTTAATGCCTTTGTGTAAGTTATTTAGTTTGTGTGTGTGTGTGTGTGTGTGTGTGTGCGCGCGCGCTGTTGCATGCTTGGGTGTACAGACTTCATGTAACTTATAGGAGGTGGTGAGATGTGAGTGACCTGGAGGCAGACCCTCACAAACCCATAAAACACAGCTCTCAGGAAAGGTTATAATTGCACTTCACATTCATGTACTTCCTTCTAACTCACAAGTTAAATTCATAATTTTTAAAACCTTGTGAATTTTTGTTAACCATGTTTAACATTCTTTTGCTGTTTCTTGCAACCAGAGGTCTCCAAGTACTGCAGAGAAATTTATGACCTGACTACAAATCTGGTTCTGATTGGGTCAGAATGAGAGATTTTTCTATTTGCCGTTGGGAATTTTATGCCTTACTTTTTAGGCGAATAGCTAAATTTAAAATGGAATTTAATATCTTTTGGTCTTCTACATTAATCATATGTTAAGTAACTGAATAAACTCTCAGAACTTTGTTAACCTTTAGCAGCCTGAATGCTGCCTTTGCTTTTTTCTCCCATATCCGGTTCATAAAAGTAACCACTCTGCTCATAATTTTTTTTAGCCTACTTGTTCAGAGCCAATGACATATTGTTATAACTGTCATCCTAGCTTTGCAAAGTGTACCTTCTAAGAATCAAAATCAATAGGAAGAAACTGAATTGTAGCAGATGAGATTCTATACATTAGAGGAAAAATTGGGTTCAAGAACCATTCATCAGGAGCTGAGGCAAGCAATTAATATTACTAGTGTGATCTTTAAAGTTTTGACGACATAAAATAAGCTGGATACCTGTTTTACAGGTACAAAAATAACAGGAAATATGCAGCCCAGTGAAATGTTGGTTATCTGTGGTGGTCAGGAACTATGGTGCAGTCGTCACACCCAGAATTCATCCTTTGGTCACTGCTTGCTAATCTCCTGATCCTGGTAGTTGGTGCCTATTGTTCTCAGGGTTCTTGAGAGTCATTTCCACACTCTGCATAAATAGTCTGGGCATGCCGTCATAAAGTGACTGTGTTACAAACAGCATAGTAAATATGCCAAACCACCAGGACTCATTTTGCTTTTTGACAGATTTTTATTTCTGATGTTTTTTTCCTCACATAAAAGTTATCCTAAAGGTTAATAGTTGATCTGGACAAATAATAGAAAAATTTCTTTCTACTTCAATTCCCATTAAAAAAAAAAAAAGCACAGAAGATCTGTCACATTTAAAGCAGTGAGGATTTTTTGAAATGTCTCAAATGCTAAGTGAATTGAGCTTGGTCCTTGCAGTGGTGTGAGCTTTAGTGGCTGTATTGGTGTGATTGGTGGAAATTGATCCATCACAGTCCACATGTGAGGTGACTTTACAGAGGATGGAATAGGAAGGGGTGCCCCATCAGGGTCTCAACCCTTTGAACAAAAGACCTATTTGTCTTGTTCTTCATTCCATTCTGAAGATACGAACTAGAATTAAAATTGTAAATGTTTTATGTATATGTTGATGGGACAAAAAGAGTATTTATTTAATAATCAAAGAGATGTTTATATATTATTGTATTGAACTTTATATTAATTCATTTGTATCTTTAAAAAATGATCACTTAAAGCCAGTGACTCCAAAGGTAATAGGAAAACTTTTTAATAAAAGTTTTTCAGTGAGTGAATTCAGAATAAGTACATCTACTTATAATGTAGGGACATTCTGCTGCTCTTATTAATGTGTAAGTACTTCGGGTATACAGCAATAGCATAAAAATGATCTCAGTGTTCTGTACCACTGGTTTTGTGTTCCTGTCCCATTAAGCTTGGTGTAAGGATTTAAAGATAAATTCTTGGAACATTAAATGATTAAAACAGCCTTTGCCTTGTTCTTGGGTGTTTTTTTCTTCTCTTGCCCATGTCTGGTAAACTTTAAAGTTGGTTGTATTTAATTTCTTTTATTTGAAGGATTTTACTTTATTGTGAATATATAAAGCTACAAATGAAGGATAAAGATGACATGAGAAGTCTGTATTTATTGTAAATTCTTAAAATACTGTGTAAATAAAATGACATGACTGTGTTTTAAAGAAGTTTATGTGTAGTGCCTTAAGTTAAAATATATTTTGACTATATTATTTGAATTCAAAGTTACGACTTTGCTTATGATTTTAAAATTTTTATGTGAATAAAATAAAATGTTACCAAAACATTTTAATTGTAATTATTAAATATGTGATGTCCTTGATGATTTTTTAATTTGTCACCTTCTTTCAAAATACGCATACTATGATAGATGTTAACATGACTTAGTGATATTGCAAAATCCACCTAGGCATTCATTACAGTCTCTTTAAAACCAGGATTAAGTGTGTAACATTTAACCATATTTTTAAAGCAGTATATAAATACACACTCTATAAATATAGTATAAATATGCAATTCAACATAAGGACATCATTGGAAAGATAGCCAAGATAAATTTTGCAGTTTCTAGAACTATAATTCACTGACTCACAGTAGAAAGGAAGAAGTTTCAAAAGCTGGTTCCAAAACACTAGGGGTGAGGGTGATTGCAGTATTTAAACTTTGTTTTGTACATAGCTATGGGCTTCCCTCATAGCTCAGTCAGTAAAGAACCTGCCTGCAATGCAGGAGACCTGGGTTTGATTCCTGGGTTGGGAAGATCCCCTGGAGAAGGAAATGGCAACCCACTGCAGTAATCTTGCCTGGAGAATCCCATGGACAGAGGAGCCTGGCAGGCTACAGTCCATGGGGTCGCCAAGAGTCAGACACGACTTAGCGACTAAGCTACTAGAGTATTTAAGGGCTTCCCAGGTGGCTCAGTGGTAAAGAAGCTGCCTGCCAATGCAGGAGACTGGGGTTTGATCCCTGGGTCAGAAAGATCCCTGGAGAAGGAAATGGCAACCCACTCCAGTGTTCTTGCCTGGAGAAGCCCACAGACAGAGCAGCCTGGTGGGCTCAAGTCCATGAGATCACAAAAGTCAGACACGCCTTAATGACTAAATGACTAATAGTATTTAATGTCTTTTCTAATATATATTCAACAAAGCTTCCTCTAATAGAGCAGTGGTTTTTTTGACATTCATTGAATACTGCTAGGGATTGTGGAAAAAACAAATAAAAAAGTACTTTCTTTACTTTGAAGAGTTCTGTGGCATTTCAAAAGTGGTAACGCTTTATACCAACAAAATGCTTTTGTCTACTCAGGTTTACCTCTTGGGCTGAGATCCTTGAATCCAGAACCAGTTCCCAGGCTCTGTGCTTCCTGAAGTTTGAATTCCAGATTTATTGAATAAAATTGATTCCAATAGAGAATGAAAACTAAGACCAATTTCTTTATTAAAGATTGGGAAAGTTATGAACTATTCTACAAAAAGTTTCAGGCCCCAAATCCAGTAATTTTTCTTAGTGCCTCTTGTTGGGTTTGATTATCAATGTTATATTAGCTTTATAAAACTAGTGTTTTAGAAAAAAATACATGAGTTTTTGAGGTGACTATAACATTGATAGCAAACCTGATAAAAATAGCATCAAAAAAAGAAAACTACAGATTTTCAAAGCTATGTTTTTTCCAGTAGTCATGTATGGATGTGAGAGTTGGACCATAAAGAAGGATGAGTGCCAGAGAATTTATGTTTTCGAATCATGGTGCTGGAGAAGATTGAGAGTCCCTTGGACAGCACAGATATCAAACCAGTCAATCCCAAAGGAAATCAACCATGAATATTCATTGGAAGGACTGATGCTGAAACTGAAGCTCCAATACTTTGGTCACCTAATGCAAAGAGCCAACTCACTGGAAAAGACCCTGATGCTGGGAAAGAATGAGGGCAGGAGGAGAAGGGGGATGAGAAGGCTGGATGGTATCACTGACTCAATGGACATAAGTTTGAGCAAACTCCAGGAGATAGTGAAGGACACAGGACAGGTGTGCTGCAGTCTATGGGGTCACAAAGAGTCTGTTGCGACTTAGCAACTGAACAACAACAACAATAGATTTTCTAGAACTAGGTTCTTGTAAGAATCTGAAACTAATAATAGGATCAGTTCTAATTAAGAGGTCAGAAAGCAACTTGCAAAGCAGTTTTCAATTTAAGTGGCAGGTGACGAAGGCAGAAGAAATTGCAAAACATACCCTGAACAGGAAAAAAAGTATCAATTAATCAACTTCAAAACAGTTGATAGAAGATGGCGGGGAAAATGTCAGTGTTGTGGTGGCTGTGGGCGGGGAGGGGCGGGTGTGTGGAATTCCATTCTTCTGACCTTTTAAAAGTTTTTACTTAGAGTCAGGAAGATTAGCCAGTCTCCATTTTATTTCTGTGTCCTAATTTGTGTTGACTGTACACAAAAGTTTGACCAGAGAGACATGCAGGTAAAACCGGAACAAAAAACTGTCAAAACATGGTAAGTGACAAGGTTTTCCCAGCAAAGTCTAAAATTTTATTTTCTTTCAGGTAAACTCTTCAGCTGCTATTTTACAGGAAAATAAGTATCTGTAAATAAAAGAACCATTCAATAATCAAATCTTCAGATCAGAGTTTTAATGATTTCATCAGCGTTAACAGAATTTACTCTCTTCTTACCACTAGGGTCATCATAGCACCCTCTAAAATGAATTTAAGACAACAATTAGTTTACATACACAGATTACACTTGAATAGTAACTGCTTTTAAATAGACCAGTTTCATCTTCAAGTCATTAGATTTGGCATCTCAATCACACAGGTAAGTTCATTGCTATAAAGCAAGCCAATATGAGTAAGTTGCGTGTTCTAAAATGTCTAATCCAGAATTCAGACCTCCTGAGGAGTTTGCTATCTATCATCTCATGTCTGTTTCTTAATCTATACTACTGATACATTTTCAGTGATCTCATTCTATCCCATTAAGAGGATGTATAAACTTAAGAATTAGGTGCTAACACTCTTTATTGGCATCATCATTTAAAAATCATTCACTTGATTTTAGAAAGCACTTTTTATTTTTCACTCTGCCATGTTTGTTCTTTACCTCGAATTTATAGTTTCTTTCTTGAATACTTTTGTCATTTTACCTACCTTCTTTGCAGGCGGGTACATAAATATACACAAAATCACAGTATTATCTATGGGCCACGTGTCTATAAACTGGTTTCTGTTTTCTTCAAGGAAAGCTATTCTTTCTGGGGCTTCCTCTTTCCTCTAAGAAACCACTGGTAATACCACCCTCTCCCCAACCAGACTACTTAAGAGACTAAAAGCACGCTTTCCATGGTGGGAATGAGGAGATCAGATGACCAGGCAGGTGAAAAACCCTACTCAGGAGATAGTCTTTTGTGAATGAAAAGTCCTACTGAGGAGTAATGTCTATTTGTGAACCTGGATTCATCTTTGATTCCACTGAGCATTTGGTGAGTGGATATTCAAATATTTCAAGGAAACAAGGCTATAATCTCAACTTCTCTTATTTCAATACCTGTTACCTCTAGGTATTGTCTCACTAAATTTTGCCACCAGGCACCCTTTAGCACTGTCCTGGGTACATTGCAAACATTGGTCCTGCCTAATTTTTTTCCCCCTAAACTCCTAATTATTTCCCCCAAGCTCCACACAGTTCTTTTCAAGGATTGTGTGACCAACATTTTCCCCAAGATAGTTTGGGCTCTCTTGCAATTCTGGACCTTCAAATGCTCAAAACTAAAGGCTCTGTCACTACAGGTTACCAGAAACAAAACACTCTTTTATCTAATCTGATTTTTAACACAATTAATGGTGATTTATTTTTCAAGGAAGCAAATAATTACAGAGCAAGAGAAAACATTGCTGAGATGATGCCTGATCCCTTCTACCCTTCTAGGCCAGTGCTAGACTTGAGAGGAAGCAAATGTATATTCATGGTATCTTTATTATCAAAATCAGAGTAAAATGACTACATCAGGAAATATCAATAATGAATGTCACGATGGAAATGATATGCCTAGAATGAATCCAGCAGCATCTGGATCTCTGTTTTGGGGGGGGAAATAAGATGAAAACCCGTCGTATGGAAAGAAATATGACAAGGAGTGCTCACAGATGCACCCTGCTTTGGGAACGCATCGCTCTGAAATCCAGCATTCAAAGGTCATCACATTTCATTTTCAGCAGTTTTCACTTTCTTCCTGTTCTCCCAATGTAAGGAGATATATTTTTACATTATTCAGGAATTATTAGAAATTTCATTCCATTAGAACAAGGAATAACAAGTATTCTGGGACATAGGTGCAAAATTTGTCTTTTTCCACTGAATTATAAGACATAATTGTCAATAAAGTGCATTTCACTTAAAAGTACCATTAAGAGAGTAAAGTGCAATATATAAGGTACTTCAAATAGTGCAAAGTTGCTAAATATATACATTGTATGTGCCAAGACCAAATAAAGCAGGATCTTATCTACCGGAAGCCAGAGAGAACAATGGAAACACACTTCCCCATTTTTCATCCTTTGCAGGTCAGTGTATTTTGGTCCGTGTGTGTGTGTGTTTGTGTGTGTGTGTGTGTGACTGCCCTTGTATATATACATAACTGCTTAATGGTCTGTGCAAATGTCTGAAGCTAGTTCCCTAGAATTTGAAACCTTTAAACACTGACATAAACTATGCCATCTCCACATCACAGAAGCATTAGGCTTGTAATAATGGTTGAGATATTTCAGCCTGAAAATCTGGTAAGGCAGGTATTTGACTTCGAATTAAATGTTTAATGAGAACTATTAAAAACACAATAACTATAATGCTACCAAGAGAGACCCCTATGAAATAAGCGTATGACTCCTCTTGTTCATTTTCTCTTGGTTTCACACTACCATGGAGGAGAGGAGGGATCTGGGTATCAGGACTTGCTCGTGGAGTCGGTGAAATGAGCAGATCCTGAACGTGGCCGAGTGATCCGTTGTGAGGCAGGGCCGTGATGTTGAGCAGGTGGCAGAGCAGGGGGTACAGGTCTGTAGAGTTCATGGCTGCTTTTGTGAAATTTTTTCGGAAGGCAGGACCATGGGCTAAGAAAATGGGATGCATTTCTGCTAATGCATTGTCGTACCCGTGGTTGCCTACTGTGAAGATAAAATGCATGAACAAGTGAGCCAACCAGATGGTATTAAAATGGAAGTAACTGTATCATCGAATGCTGGACTTACATGCAAGTTTGATCTAATTTGACTTTTAAATAAAAGAATCCTTTACACATCATCTCTGCTGTGGTCAACATCACGATTCACTTCAGGAAATGAGAAGTCAAATGATCATAAATCTTTCCCACAGGTCACAGGAAGAAGGGTAAACTTCCCTGAGCCAAGTCAGGGGAACATGAAAGTGATCTTTTTTTGTTGGCAGGTAAACTGATTTTCAGCAATTACTTGTTAGATACCTACTATGTTCCAGTTATTGTTCTAAAGATAAAGGGGTAAAGGTGCCCTTAGTCATGAAGCCAATAAATTCATAATGTATCAGTTGACTCATTAGAAAAGACCCTGATGCTGGGAAAGATTGAGGGCAGAAGGAGAAGACAGTGACAGAGGACCAGATGGTTGGATGGCATCACCGACTCAATGGACATGAGTTTGAGCAAACTCTGGGAGACAGTGAAGAACAGGGAAGCCTGGTGTGCTGCAGTCTGTGGGGTCACAAAGAGTTGAACACAACATAGTGACTGAACAACAATCAAAAAAATAAAGATCAGGACTTGTGGGTAAAATCTTGTCCTGTTTCAGATCAGGATCCAGCTTAGCATTGTATGCTTTAGTATGGCTACAAAAAAAGTTAAAAACTTCCGGAGTCTTGATAAGTCAGAAGAAGATACAAAATTGAAGGATGAAAACCCCTGCATAATAAAAGCTGCCTTTTATTTTATGTTTTTAAAGCTGCCTTTTAAAGGCATGTGGGTCTAGCATAATATCAGGGTTCTACTGCCAGTAAAATGGCAACCAAAGAGAACTGAAAGGCTTTATTTTAAAGGTAGTGAGAATGACTGGCAAATCAGCCTCTACTGCTTGTGTCTGCTACCAGGAAAACTGCAATGGGAACACAGAATTGAAAAAAAAAAAATTCTAAATCAATTCCTCTGAGAGTCATCTTCTCCGAGTAATTCCAAATCTGCCTGGAAAAATCCATCTAAAGGAGTCATTCTTAGTGCTATGATTCTTTTGAGTTTCTTATTCAAGTGGAAATAATGCTGGATTTATGAATCACTAGGAATCATCTGACTGGGGCTGTGCTATTCTACTCAATCAACAGTAACATTGGGAAATGTGCCATTATATAATTTGTAATTGGATGATTGCTGGGCTCCTGTCTGTGAAAAGTTGGATCTATACTCTAATCATGAAGGCAAAGTAAATCCTATCTCACTTCTTACTAGAAAATCAGACTTGAAGTGAACTCATTATGACTTAGAAAACCTTTCCCGTGAAGAGGGACTTTTTCTCCTAGTGGTGAATGCATGCTCAGTCACTCAGTCTTGTCCAAATATTTGCAACTCCATGGATCATAGCCCACCAGGCTCCTCTGTCCATGGAATTCTCCAGGCAAGAATAGTGGAGTGGGTTGTCATTTCCTTTTCCAGGGGATCTTCCCAACCCAGGAATTGAACCTGGGTCTCCAGCATTGCAGGCAGGCAGATTCCTTACCACTGAGCCACCCAGGAAGCCCTTCCTAGCGGTAGCCCCTACGATTAATGCTTGATCCAACAGACAGTATTTAATAATGGATGTCTAAGGGCAGTGTTCTCAAACTTGACCATGTATGAGACTCTGGCACAGGGAGGGTGGGTGCAGGTAAAAACACAGATCTCTGGGCTCCACCCTCTCAGTTCCCAGTGTAGCAGATCTGGGTTGGGCCGAAGAATCTACATTTCTAATGAGTTCCCCGGAGATGTGGATGATGCTGGTCCAGGGAACACTTTTTGAGAACCGCTGCTGTTGGACAATTAGGGCTGAGTTCTCTTCTAGAACTCAGGCTGAGAAGGACTGTAGTAGCCAGTACTTAATTATTTTGTTGAAAAAATAATTATGTTGAACATAATGTAATATAAATAGGAGCACCATTAAGGTTTTAGATTCAAAATAGGAGTGACCATCTATTATGTAATAGTAGTTCACTGAACCAAAGTTTCAAGAGAGCCACTGGCATTTATGTTAATTGTTCATTGTAATTCTGTCTCTTCTTTTCTGAGCAACTCCTCTCACATAAGAGTCACCTGCACAATACATGAAAGCCTGAACATATAAAGTTGGCAACTATTCTCATGGCCAAACAAATTATTTTTAAAAACTTTCTTAATACAGCTCTCCTGGCCTGATTAAATATTGGTTTACAGATTATTACCCATATGTAAAATCTGTTTTAAGGATCTGAACCCATCACGTATACATCTGCCAGTATGACTCATTTATGCTCAACAAATGCCACTGCCAGCTAACTGCTATTCTCTTCATCAATAAACATGATGGGAACCCAATTCTACCTAAAGGGACATTTTTTTTTTTTACTGTCTCAAATGTATCAAGGACCAGTGCCTAAAAGAGCATTTCTAGTCAGTGTTGGCACCATATGCTTCCCTCAATATTCAGTAACAATGGGAACAACCCTCAGTGAACTGATTGGTAGCGCGTGTTAATGTCTCTGTCAGCCAGGGAAGCAGATCCCATGCTAGGTAGTTTAAGGGAGGGAATTTCAAATGAGGGATAGTGTTGAAGCTCAGAAGTAAACATGAGATGGCAAGGTTACCCCGTGAGTAGACCAGTGGGAATAGTCTCCAGTGGGAACCTCAATGGCCCCCAGAGCTGGAGAGACAGAAGGAAGAGGTGGGGTAACCAGAGCCCCAAAGGCAGAACTACTCAGTAGGAGCTGGGGCCACAGACAGGGAGGTTGTCCAGAGCTGGGATCACAGAGGACATGAAGTCACAGGCTAGGGCAGACAGAATGGGGGACAAAGACCCTGGCTTCTGCCAAACTCCTGCCTTCCACGCTCCTACCACGGTTCTCTATTGGCCAAATGGAACCAGAAACTAGTTTGCAAAGTAGCTTCGGAAATTTAGTCTGTAGGGATCTGTCACTGCTGATACAGCGCAGATCAGGGTAAGGGTGGGCGGGCAGTTTGAGAGCAAATATGCAAATGGCAGGCACAATAAAGATGAGTTACATCCTGTGGATGACTTCCATTTGACTAACTTGTTAAAAGCTGTATGGAAAGGGAAAACTACACGTTATGGATGGCTCCTCTGTCCATGGAATTCTCCAGGCAAGAATACCGGAGTGGGTTGCCATGCCCTCCTCTGGGGATCTTTCCAATCCAGGGATCGAACCTGGGTCTTCTGCATTGCAGACAAATTCTTTACCATCTGAGCCACCAGGGAAGCCCCTGTTATGGATGGCAGAAAGCTCTTTATTTTGTATGCTTGAATTTTAAATAGCATTTCCATCATCTTCTAAATTTATATAATGGAAATACCTCCAGAAGAATACCACTTGGTATTCATTAGGAAAATATATCTTGATATACTTCTATCCATGCCAATATGCACTTCTTTTTAGAAATGTTTCCAAGGTATAAAGCAAAGCTGGCCCATATTTTGTAGAGCCAGAGGGCAAAAGAAACGAAAAAGCTGACAACTGCAGAGAAAAATAGAGATGACACTTTTATGAGACAAGAGTATGAAACAGATGCAGAAAATGATTCAATTTACAAAACTCAGGTTTTTCTCAGGAACATAATGGTTATAATTAGCAGTATAGGGCACGGTGATTATCTTTGGTCTGATGACTTCAAGAGTCATTTCACTTTTAGGAGGTTACCTCATTTTAAAGTCCCAGTAAATCTTTATTGGGATATTTATTGGATTTTTATTTAGCTATTAATGTATGACACTAGCTAGTTATTCGATCGGTAAACAGAATGTTGAATACAGCAGAAACAACTCCCCGTTGGCCTCCACTTTAGCAGATGATGCAGAATGGGGAGAAAGAATATAACATACTCACAGAGAAAGTCATCTGACTTATTCCGTAAAATATGCCAGCCGTCGTCAGCCACTGCGAGAATGGGCTGAATTCGACTGCTGTGTTTGTAATGCCATCTTTCCGGAATCTCTTCCTTTTTGTAAACAGTCAGATTAGGATGAGCTTGAGCTAGTGCTTCATAGACTTCATCAAATTTGCCTAAAACAGAATGAGGAGAAGCAGTCAGAACAAGACTCTCACCACTACAGCCAAGAAGCAACCACGGCAACAGAGGTCAGTCAATGAGGACATCCTACTGATGGAGACAGTCAGCAAGTTCAAGGTAATGAAGTCTTACCAGACAATTTAGAATCCCCTGTCTGCCCCCGCTCCCAGTGGGGGAAACTGAGAAATAATCTTCTCTTAAAATAAATTCACCTTCAGAGAAGACATTTCATTGAAACAGAAATCTCTAAAGACTTAAATACATATGTCCATGTGTGCATGAATGTGCTAAGCTGCTTCAGTCATGCTCAACTCTTTGCAACCCTGGGGATGTAAAACTTTAAAAAAAAAAGTCTTCTTATTTTATATGGGAGTATAGTTGATTGACAACATTGGGTTCTTTTCAGTTGTACAACAAAGTGATTTCAGTTATACATATACAGGTATCCATTCTCTTTCAAATTCTCTTTGGGGACGTTAAAAATATTTTGAGTTTGTTTAAAACTCAGAATCTAGCTTTAAAACAGAAATAATGAATGGCAGATTGGTATGAGGCTTTGAGATGAGGTTTGTAAAAAGTTTAAGGCCCTAAAGCCTGTGCTCTGCAACAAGAAGCCACTGCAGTGAGAAGCCCTCACATCACAACTAGACAGAAGCCCACACAGCAGTGAAGACCCGGAACATCCAAAAATAAAAACAACAAATTTTTTTTTTAAGTTTGAGGTACTGTTATTACTTCCCTTGCTTAGAGGTAAGAAAACTAAGTCTCAGCACGAGCAAAACTCTTTCCTCTGCCCCACTGCTTCCCCATTAAGCAGATCTAACGAAGGATCCTCTGAAGGCTTTAGGGCTTCCATAAAAATCACTGTAACTCCATGCACATTTTGTGTGTATCTTCCCATCTCTGTTTCTCTGTGAGTGAAGGCTGAAGCTTTTCATCATATCCAATGACTCTAAAATGGTTAAATGCCACTACCATAAATATACAGAGAGAGTATCAGTTTCAATACTGTAGAAAAAAGTAAAAAATCTGACTCTGAGGGAAGTGACTTTGTCTTTTCAGAGACTAAGGATTAAATCCAAGAATATTACCATGAACAAAGACAAGCACACTTGAAAGACAGAAACAAAAGTCCCCCACTCAGTCACACTGGGCACGAACACCCACCCCCAGATCACCCTTCAGCTCAGGCTGACCTTCCCTGGGCAAGATGGCGGCCACTGGCGATTGGTCAATCAGGGTGTAGTGCTCTCTATCCAGATATTGGTCAAGCTCTATGATCCTTTCCTGGGAACACTGCGTCATTCCATGGTCACTTGTGATGACTAGGTTCAGAACGTTCCACAAGTTTGCCTTTTTCAGCATTTGTATGAGATATCCTAACTTGTGGTCAATATCTGAAATGACAGGCCCCATGAGCGGACTGTCTGGTCCCAACTGGTGGCCCATATCATCAGGTTCCTCCCAATAAAGAAGACCAAGATTGATGGGCTCTTTTGACGTAAACCATTCAATAATTTTGGCAACTCTCTCTTCAAATGAAACAGAGTCATTGTAAGGCATGTAGTGAGTGGGAAAACTTCCGTGTATTTTGACATCTGTTCCGGGCCACATGGCCGCACCACTCGTGTGTCCTGCCCTCTGATTTGTGATCCATATCGGCGTCGCTTCTTCCCAAAACTCAGAATCATAAATATCCATGTCATCCAAGGAGAAAGATTTGTTCAGAATAGGGTCATACATGTCATTTGCCACAATGCCATGATTCTCAGCAAAGAGGCCAGTGACCAAAGTATAATGGTTAGGGTAGGTCTTTGTAATAAAAATATTAGTAACTTGCTGCACCTGGGCACCGTATTTCATAACATAATGAAAATGGGGTGTTGGAACTCTATATAAATAATCCCAACGGAATCCGTCAAATGAAACTAGCAGAACCTTTGGCTGGTCTGATTGGAGAGAAAATGTAACTGAAAGTGTTAATGCAGCAAGCATGAAGGACACCCGGAGAAGTCTTGAAGTCATTTTTCAAACTACTTGATTGCTTCAGTGTAAGACAATCTGTATAAGAAAAATATAGAAGTTAATGGCAATAATTTTGTTTTGCATACTTTACCCAAAACGGAGAATGATGGCGCTTAGTAACCCCAGTTATAGTATACATCACAGCCTGGAAGGTTTATGTTGCAGAATTTCATCTTAAACAAGAAACATGGGGCTCTCTATAACAAAGCTAAGAAATATATTCACACTTTAGAAACTGTTTTAGTTTCTAAGAAGTTACCAAAACATTTCCTCAAAGAAATTATGTAAATTATCTCCCCAAATATAATTTTAAAAGATGAAATAATTTGCATACAACTTTTCAGAAACATTTTCAGGTTGACTCAAACCTTTGGCTCCTGCTCATGGACATTTATATATGTCAAAATATTCCAGGAGTTGGTGATGGACAGGGAGGCCTGGCATGCTGCAGTCCATGGGGTTGCAAAGAGTCGGACACGACTGAGCAACTGAACTGAACTGAACTGAACTAAAATACCTGTGGACACATTCATCATTAGTGTTAGACAGGCTGTAGGAACCTAGCAACAGGAATTAGCACTAGCAGATCAAAAATAATATTTTTTAAAAATACATATGTAAACCTCCATGTTTCAATGGCAAGGCCTTATGTTTGGTTCATCATAGTAAGAGATTAACTTGGTGTCTTGAAGTGACATAAAAATTATGACATTCTAATATATTTGTGAAATGTAATCGACATTCATGTATTAATAATTAAAGCATGTGTGTGTGCTAAATTGCTTCAGTCATGTCTGACTCTATGCAGCCCTATGAACTGCAGCCTGCCAGGCTCCTCTGTTCATGGGATTTCCCAGGCAAGAATACTGGAGTGGGTTGCCATTTCCGTCTCCAAATAATCAAAGCATGTTGTTGTTGTTGTTTGGTCACCCGGTCGTGTCTGACTCTGAGACTTCATGGACTGCAGCACACCAGGCCTCTCTGTCTCTCACCATGTCCAGAGTTTGCCCAAGTTCATGTCCATTGCATCAGTGATGCCATCTAGCCATCTTAATCCTCTGACGCCCTCTTCTCCTTCTGCCCTCAATCAAAGCATAGTCTTCTTTAAATAAACCAATTAGGTTCTGAACTAAGTATAACAGAAATGTAAATCTGAAATTTGATGTTGACCTTCCTTCCCTGGTGGCTCAGTTGGTAAAGAGTCTGCCTGCAATGCGGGAAACCTGGGTTAAATCCCTGGGTTAGGAAGATCCCCTGGAGAAGGAAATGGCAACCCACTCCAGTATTCCTGCCTGGAGAATTCCATGGACAGAGGAGCCTGGTGGGCTAGAGTCCATGGGGTCACAAAGAGTCAGACAAGACTAAGTGACTTTACTTTCATTTTTCCTAATGTTAAAATTCATCAGTATTTAATCTTATCAGTGGTGTGTGTAGAACAGGCACTTCCCTGTATTAAATAAATCTCTTGGGATCAAAGTAGTTGTAATTGTTGTTGTTCACCTGCCTCTATTTCTAAAAAGCTTTTATTCTATTCAAGAAAGCTAATAAGAGATAATATGAAAAACAATACATATGTAAATTTTGTCAGTTCTCAACGGATTGCCTATCCAGTAAGGATCTTTTGTTCTTTCCCTCTGCTGTTCATTCTTGCATGAAGTTATTTATAAGCCCACCAAACCTGGATCTAACTATATTTTGTGCCAAGAAATCTCTTGAATTCAGTTTTTGACATCTTCCTAATTTGAATATGCTGAAGACATTTTTAAACCTCAGAAAAAGAATCTGTCTTGCCCTTCTATTTTATAAGTGCTGGTAAATAAAAAGTGCTTTGGCATGCCTGCTTTGCTATCAGGGACAAGAATTCTGCTTCTGTTTTGTTTTGTTTTTAACCATGATTTCAGCATACCAGAACATTACTTAAACTGAAATTGTTGTAGCTATTGATCTTCAGACAATGGCTCAAAAATTAAATTTAAAAAACTATTCCTCAAATGGCAAGAAACTTCCCAGTTCTGGAAGGAACATGAGTAATCAGTTCCAATGAGGAACTGCAAAAATATTTACTAACATTTCTGGCTAAGAAGGGTGGTTCTTCCTCGTCCTCTCTTCTCCTTCACTTTCTTAACACAAGAAAGGATACTATGAACCAAATATAATTTAAAGCTAAAAAATGAATCAGCTACATGAAACATCTGATTTCTCCTCTATTTTAGTAAATTAATTCAGCAACTGTAATAAGCAGGACCGAACTGCTTTCCTGGGACAAACGCAAACAAAGGCTAACCACTGCCTCAAGCTTAGGAATGCTTGCTAAGAGGAACCAACGTTATCACATCGATGACACAAAGCAACAAACAGGGAAGCGGGGGTGGGGATGCAAGAAATCTGATTTCTTTCTTTTCCTCCAAAGTGCTTCATGGCGCTGTGGAATCCCTCTTTCTAGGTCCAGCTTTCACTGGGCTGCTTTCCAACTCCTCGCCCCTCCAGCCCTTCCCCTACAGACAGCCTTGGAAATCTAGAGGAAAGGGGTGCCAAGAAAGGAGAAGAGAGAAAGTGAAGGATGAGTAGGTGTGTGTAGAGCGAACGGACGTCAAAAGGAGGGTGATGCGTCTCCCCATCGTTTTCACCGGGATTTCATCCTAGCTCCGGGAAGGATCTCGGCGTAGGGTACGTTCCCAATTTGTAGCCCGCCCGCCCGCCCACCGAGGCCAGAAGATGCCCTAACGTGGGCTCTGTAACAACTGTGTAGTGGAAACCGGAGGGAGGATAGTTTGGGGGTCCCTAAAGAGGCAGGTGGGTCTCCCACCTCCCCCGACTCTTACCCTCGCGGCGATCCGCTCAGTCCGCTTCGGCTTGGGGCAATGGGAGGGAAGGCCTTGAAAGGGATCCTTCCCGCAGACCCGGGGCAACAGCCAGGAGGCGGCGGGAGCAAGGGGTGCCCCCCAAACCCACAGCCGCTCACCTGCTCGCCAGCTCAACGCAGAGCACCTGACCAGTACTGCACCTGACCAGCGCCGCACCTGACCAGCGCCGCACCTGACCAGCACCGCCTACCGGCTGCAGGCCCCGCCTCTTGACTCCTATTGGCTACGGGACAGAGGGAAAGCCGGGCTCCTGGGAGTGGCTGCCCCGCCTGTCAATCAGTGGGGCGGGCACTGCGGGATTTGAAGAGTTGATCCGGCGGGAGCCAGGGGAGTGAGGGGCGACGTGGACCCAGCCTGGAGGCTCCAGGGGCAGGAAAGAGAAGGCGCCCCAGGGCTCGCTAAGGCAACCTCTGCCGGGTCACAGAACCATTCTGCATTGTGCCTTTTCTAGACGGGCAGTTATGCTGTGGTCAGTGATGCAGAGAGGTCATAGCGCGCTACCCCCAGTAGCGAAAACCCCCAGTTTTCGTTAAAAGCTACTATTCTCTTACCCGATTTCTCATTTCCAGTTTTCTTCTGTTTTCTGATCACAAATGGGTAGCACCATACTCTTGACTTTGCTCCGAGGAACACCCGAACACCCCAGGAGGTCAATGGGACGATGCAAAATCTAATTTAAAAGGATTTAATTTTACTGTTCCGGTTTTTGCAATGTCAGGTCTCTGAGGGATCTGCAATAGTGTGGCACCTGAGAATAACCATATTACACCAAGCCAGGTTCAGAATCGGGTTAATTTGCACAGGCTGCGAGGCTGAATAACTATTCCAGGCACCAGATTCTGCTCCTAGCTTTGTTTTTAAATATGCAGGATTGAACTTCGGATCTGACTCCTCTTTCTTGATCCTGTTTCTTCTATTCCCATTCTGAAATGGATTAGTTTTTTAAGTGTTTTTTGTCTTGTTTTGTTTTGTAATGGATGGTATATTTAGGCGGGAGGGAGTGCAGACAGGTACATAGTTTGCCCATATGATCCCAACTATATTTATCATAAATTATAGCAGTGACTTCCAGCTCCCCTGAAAGAATTTGCCCATCTACACAATTCCCAAACCTAATTCTGACCACCCTGCAATGGGCAATAATATCTGCTGATTGTTGCAACTTAAATGTAAACATCTAATTAGCGGTTAAAATGGAGAGCAGAACCAGTCCTTCTGGGTCCCCTGGAGCTCCCTTCCCTGGTACACCAGAACTTAATGAATAGACAGCCTTGCTGAGAGTTAATTAAACAAGGCAAACATTTTGGTCGTTGTTTTTTCTCCTTCTCTCAACTTCTCATAGAGGGACAGTCCCTACCCCGATGGCTCCCTTCCCACAGCGTCATACCACCCACAAGGGGATCTGGGCACCCTTCCACGGCCTTTTATTTGTAATGACTTGAGTTTATGGTTTTCCACACGTGGGATGGGGATTAAGAGGGAGACTGATGTCTGGATTTGGCCAGATTCAGTTGCAGTGAAGCTGTACAGGTTGTTCCAAGTCCCCAAAGCCCTGTCCTTTGAAATTGCCCCAACTTGGAACAAGGTGGCCCAATATTATAAGTCTTTGTCCCCCCAGAATAGGCCAACCCTATGTTCTCCCAAAACATTCAGAGAACAGCATATGCTGATTAGAGAGCAGTGAAAACAGGCTTGTGTTTTACATGGATCGCTGAGTATTGTTGGACTCTATTCAGATGGCGCTGCTTGGCTCTGCAAACTTACGAAGATAAGATTGTATTCACAAGTCACCTCTGTGACACAGGCATGGTGCAGCTGTTCACCACGGTGCACAACACAGAAAATGACTCATGAGGGCCCCAGCGAGTCCCAGAGACACTGCCCAGATCTCTATGTGATGACATCTAGAGTCAACTGGCAGGCTCATGATATAACTCATGTTGCTAACAGGGGAAAAACCTGGCTTACATAGTAGAGATAGAGGAATGATTGTAAAAACATGGGATTCCTGCTTCCACATCTGTACCAGCCCTTCTGCCCTGTCTGTTGCCTTGAGTTTTGTCCAATTGCCATCACTACTCAGCCAATTATGGTCACCTAAGCTAGCGATGCCCAACTTTTTTGGCACCAGGGACC